ATATTTTAGGAAGTTAATATAATAATATTATTATCTACAATAAATCTTATATGATTATTTTTATAGATATCAGTTCTTAATTAACATTCATATATATATATATATATATATATATATATATATATATATATATATATATATATATATATATATATATATATATATATATATATATATATATATATATATATATATATATATATATATATATATATATATATATATATCTGTTGTTTCAGAAGTTACTAGATAGTGGGTTACCCAAAAAACTTGTTAGTTTGCTTACATTTTAGTATAGTAATCAACAAATGTTTGTTCGATGGCAAAAAACAAAATCAAACAGTTTTGGAGATGTCCCCACTTCTATTTAACTTTTACATACAGAATATGATTTTATTAATCTCAAAACTACGTATTGGATGTAATATAGATGGCTTACGCTGATGATATGGCTTTAATTGCACCATCTTCAAGATGGTGCAATTAAAACGTTTAAATATTTGTACGTGTAAAGTAGAAGACCAAGATGATCTTGGTCTTCTCTTCAAAAACTAATTAGCTTTACAAATAAGAAATTTTCTTTAATTAAGATATCCTTTAACACAAAGAAAACTGTATGTATGGTGTTTAACCCAACTCAAAAATTATATCAAACTCCTTCCCAGAATTATGTGTATCAGGCTGTAAAATTGTTTTTGTTGAATCTTTTATATAACTTGGCTATATAATTAAAAATGACCTAGCTGATGATCTTGATATAACCAAGGAGATGAAGGGTCTTTACACACGTACAAATATTTTAACTAGACGCTTTCATTTATGCTCTACCAGAGTAAAGGTTAAATTGTTTAAATCATATTACATTTGTTTATATGGTGGTCCTGTGCGGCAAAATTATAATAATAAAACAATGGCACGCCTTCATTATTGCTACAATAAATATGCTAAAATGTTTTTTGGCTACAAAAAATATGTTTACAACAAGTATGATCTCATGCTTTTAGAGCACAGATTACTATCTCTTCATACATATCTCGAACTACAGACATGCTTTTTGTAAAAAGTTGATGGCTTGTTTCTTAGTAAATAATTCTATGTGTTCTCTTAATCAAAGTTTAAAAGAACATTTTTCTTGTAAAAACTATGGACCTGGCACCTAAATTGTATCTGCCTTTTTTCTGAAGTATATAATAATAATAATAATAATAATAATAATAATAATAATAATAATAATAATAATAGTATATATATATATATATATATATATATATATATATTTATTTATATATATATATATATATATATATATATATATATATATATATATATATATGTATATATATATATATATATATATATTAGTAAAAAAACTCATCTAACCAGGAAGAAATTTTTTTTCCTGGTTAGATGAGTTTTTGAAGTTGAAGACAAAAACTAGATAAGTGTTTTAACTATTTTATTATTGCTGTTCTTATGAACATTGAGTACACAGTACTTGCAAAACGCTCTAGAATAACCTAACATAATTTAAAAAATTAGACAATAATTATACCTGTATTTCTTTTATTTTCTCTTTTGTTTTTGGGTACAATATTTTACAAGATTTATTATGATTCAACTATTAATTACCAGGATACAACTGACAAAAATAAGTTGAAATAATAGTTACTTTTATAAAACTACATATGTGTCTTTCATACTTTGATTGATGAAAAACAATAAACGCGTAAATATCTTGTAACGTATGTCACCAAAAGAGCAGAAAAACAACTTAGTAACAACATATAAACTTTGTAGTTATATAAGTTAAAGCTTTTTCATACTTTTTATTAATGGGATAAAAGTTTGTAAAGCAGCACAACTAAAACTTGTTAACAGAACTAAGACTTGGTAGTGTATGATTATTATTTTCAATCTACTATAATAAAGTCGATGATATTACTTTTGCAGTCGCGGAAGCAACCAATCCTGAGAAACATATCCTGAGTTTTTTAAAAACTATGAAAATTTAAAACCATCTAAAAATTCTTTGATACAATTTTTTTTTTGTTATATTTTACACTAATAAAGTTACTTTCTCGCTGCTATTATAAAGTAAGATTGCATCAAGTTGTAACAATAAACATTCTAATGTAACCAGAGTGAACATTAACTTTGACTTTCAGCAAAGTAGTTTCATATTGAACATAAGAAGATTAATAAAGGTAACAAATTTATACAAAACAAATACAAATAATTAAACAGTCTGTTCTCCTATATTCTTTATTTCTATTCATTTCTAATTTTTTTCGTGCTTTTTTTTTTTTTTTACTTTTTCAATTTTCAAACTTTCAAACATTTTAAAAATATCAATATGATTGAAATATGCAACTTTAATCTAGTTAATGTAAAAGAAGTAGTAAGTAAAGCAATAACAAATCTTCAAGCGCAATCTCCGTATTTTCAAATTCCGTTCAGCGTTCTGGGGCTTTCCAATATGGCGATTTTGGCGTCAATTTTGATATTAGAGATGCGCTATCCAGTTATTATAGAGATCAGTGGCCTGATGTCATTACATCATTACGTCATTGGAATGCGGGATACGTCTATTGAATTAATTTACAAAAATTTAAAAATCGTTTAAATCATTTTGTTAATTTAAGTCAACCAACATATACGAACTGCAATTTATAACATTTAATTATAAAAAAATGGAACAAAACTTACTTCTTAGTAGTTCAGCGACTAAAAAATAAAAATATATTTAAGAGCTAACTACGTAACATGATACAAATCCGTAACATATTAAAACATCTGAATAAATACAAACCTTCATCTTCAACGTTTTGGGACATTTTATTAATTCGATATAAAAAATAAAAATAAATATGCTTAAAAACAAATTAAATAAAGATAATACCCACGTTAAGACATGAAAAATGTAAACAATTAAAATGGTTTAACAGAATACAACCAAATTCAAAGTTATGATGAGATGCAATAGAACGATTTAATTCTAAACGCGCTATTCTATAGGTCTGGTAGTTTTAATCTCAAAACTCCAGAACAGAAGAAAAACTAACAAAGCACAAAACAGCGCACAAGAAAATCTGCGCATCACTAAGCCTAACAAAACAGCCGATAGTAACAAAAGTAAAAGCGCATTTATCTTTGGCATAACATTATAACAAATTACATAACGATTAGTATATTCAATAATTATGTGACCTTGCGGTAGAAAAGAGACCACATGGCAAGATCTAGTTTCTGAGAAAAAAAACGTTTAAACACAGTGCCTTGTGGTTTTTAAGTTTTCATTTGAACTTGATAGATAGATAGATATCAGACTATTAACTGAATTATTGTTCATTTTGTTCATTTTGTTCAGTTTAATTAGCTTGTTTCTGTGGTATGAATAACTCATTCCCACTATCTACCGCGAGGTCACATATTATGATTAGCAATTTTAATCAATGTCTAAAACTTAATATATTTTTTGTGAATG